GGATTGGTCCGAGCAAATCAACCGGGGTGGTACGGGGTGGCAGGGTGGAGATTGATTGCGTCGGGTTCCCTACCTGTGGGCCAGACTCCGCCAATGAGACCGGGGTGCATCCGTCTAAGAATGGGACTGTCTGCAGTAGAGTGGATAGAATACCCCCATCCTTCCCTCGCTTGTCTCTGCTGGGAAGTCATGCTCACAGTAACCCACAGTGCCCCTTCTACCAACGCCGCCCCAGCCAAGTCAGGGACAGGGGTAGATGGAACTTTTTCCAACCAAGCGGCTTGTATAAGAACGGAAGGTCTTCTACCCAATTTCAAACGGCCAGAAATCCCCGAATGGGTCCCATTCGCCCACAATCAACTAGACCCAGTTCCGCCTACTTGGACCGGAGACGGTATAATTGAGCGTTACTATACTGTATGTCTACATCTCGCCTCCATGGACGTGCAGGACCCGCGGCGCTGCAGTGTGTTAACCAGTGGAACCCTATTACACGGCGAGCCAACCAGCTGGCCTTCCAGGAGCCAGGATTTTCTTCGTCTGAAGTTTTTCGGGCTCTGAACGGTTCGCGTTTTGGAGAACTCGTTGTCTTAAAAATTTAAAAAGTTACTTTAGGTACTTAGTCACTCAGTCAATTTACTGGTAGCGGCGCCAACAACAGATCCGTCTCCCCTCATTCCCGTAACTACGGGAGGAACCGATATTACAGTACTATGGTACGTACGCCGTGCACGGGTCTAGCGCGTACAGTATCAATATATATATGTGTAGTTAGACGACGTTCTTTTCATTCGCGAATATTGATCCTACGTGTCAACGCCTGCGACATCTAATAGATAGCTGGAAGTTGTATCCGCGTAATTTTCCTACGTACGAGAGTATTTCCGTAGCTTATCTTAATAAAAGAAACGGAAATGCATGGCCATGGTTCCACACGTTTGGTAACAGTATTCACGGATACTTATCAAACATGGTAGTATTCAATGAGACATTGTTTGCTTCTTTCTTTTCTTTTTCCTTTTTTTTTCTCTTCCCGACCGGCATTTTAGCGTTTCGTCCGTATGGAGATTATGTATGTGGGAATCATTAATGATAAATCGTTTCTTACAGGTCCCAACATTAATGTATAAATATCTAATTAAATACATACTTTCCATTCCTTTTTCCGCCTTGCCTACTTTCTGGAAATTCTGACCACGAGATATGCCACCGCTGCGTAATTAGAAGCATGAATTCTCCAAGACGTCTTATGTCATTGTTGAAGAGGCGTGGAAATCGGCATTTCATAGGGGTCTGAATTCCAAATATAGAACTTCAAAACAAGGGAGCATTCACTCAAGCCTGCTCTGAATTCCGTTGGACTCCGAATTCCGTACCTGATTAATACAGTATGGAACGCATGTACCTAAGTACCACCCGTACCAGCACTGCCATGTAAAGCAAAGACGTTTGGTTCAAGTGGCTTATCCAAACTGACATGGAAGTTGTCTCTGGAAACCTAATACGCCATCTGTACCCCTAGATATTTAGCGTTGGCCTCTCCGGTGTTGCTACCGAGATGATCCCTTTTCAAACTAATAGCGAATCATCAATCTTCATCTATCGTATCCCGATCAGAAGAAAAGCAGTTTCACTTTCAAGCCTCGTCGAGTGCCGTTAATCAACCACGCTGGTAGTTATCTACGAACACAGACCCTTGGAATGCCAATCGTCATATATGCAGTATGTAATGATCAGGAGATCGAGCGGTTGTGTCTCATTTGATACGTTAGTTCAGGCCAGTCACTACGTAGTCAAGAGTTAAGCTTTCGGCGAGCTCTGAAGCCAAGTCTACCACCGTTAGAAGCTACTGAAACAGCACCCTTCAAACTCCCATGACGGCCTTAACAAACGGGCAGCTTTTAGAAATAGACTCGGCGCCATAGTTCGTCTGATGTCAACATGAGACGACGTGCTGCCGCGTTGCCGGCGGCTCATTAAGGTTGACTACGAAGTCGGGGTCACCCAAGAGTACGGGGGCAATTCAGGAACACCTTGTTGTTTGGTTAGTCAGTTGGCTCGCTGGGGGCTAATTCGGTATCCTGTTGGTTCGTCATACAATCTTAGCTTGGATCAAGCTACATCTAACATCGTGATAGGTCATATCTAGATCATAAGTACGGCCGAAACCCTTGCTGGTCCTTTCTTTTGGGAATACTGACTCGACAAAAGCCATGCTCCTAATTATTGGATCTGTGAAACCACAACTTACCGACAACTTACCGTCCATTCTTTTCTACGTGGAAATCAGCTCTCCTAACCCCATGGAACCCAAGCTAACGGCACCAGTTGCTCCAAGCATGCTGTACTAGCTAGGAGATCCCGGCTTAGTATGGCGGTGGTTGACAAAATCAAAGGTGATCAGATATTCCCCTCATTAAATACCTAGCTAGAGTTTCCGTATGTCTCAAACCGCCACCCCTAAGAAACTAGGTTATGCATGCCGCATTCACTAGTTCCACGTGCTATGTGTCTCGAAGCGAAGCTTCCACTTCCCCAGGCCAACCGCAGGACGTCTACCACGTAAGTGTGTATACCTTATTAGCGTGGACGATCGATGCGAACTCCTTGTCATTCATGACAGAACGTCACGAGCAAAGCCAGCGATCTCTCCAACGTACGTATAGAATCTTAGTACAACCTTTCGGCATTCGTACTCGTACCGCCATCTGAAGCGGGCTAAGTACTCGGCAAATAACTCATCATTCGCAAATACATGAGAATCGCACCCCATTACCTAGATAAGGTATGTACTGGAGAAGATCGACTATACTACATGTATATGTCAAGGAGGACCTCAAACAGTATCAGGTACCTAACTTATTAAGAGTAGTCCGGTAGTAACGACTCATGACATTCGATTCCAATCCAGCAATAAACTCTTAGAAATCCGTGACAACTGCCTACATGAATGATATTCAGTTGGGAAATATAACGAGATAGCTAGCGGTCCTGTACTCTCGCTGCAGTGTAATCTCGTTCGCTTCCTTCTGGAGCTACCAGTAGTATACATTACTCTTTCCTAGACCCCCTTACACAGTCTCGTTCACGACATATTAGAGAGTAAGCAGATGCCCTTTGTCGTATTACATCAGTGAGATTCTCCCTGATGGCTAGATTGACATAGCGTACTCAGCTGCTATAAACGCTTAAAACCTACCAGCCCCAGCATCGCTTACAATACTTCTCAGGCCAACCCTCCGCCTCCCAAATCACACCGCTGTGACGTCCAAGATGCCGCACGAATAGTTACACTAGATCGCTTTCCATGCGTATGGAAACGAGTTCACGCCAGCGGATATTGCCCTTGCTTGAATTCGAGGAATGTAAGGCTTGGGGATAAAAGTTACTAGGAGTACTTAACTGCTAGAATATACGTCCTTTAGAGTCTATATTCCTCAACCGAGACGTGGAGGCAGATTCATTTTCCTTGCCCACAGGTCGAAGCACTCCTGGCTATCTGCATCTATTAGGTTACACGGCTCTCTCGGTAGCCGAAACCAATTTGTAACACGTTGGTTGAACGGTCAAACAACGCTCCCTCGATCGATAAACCTACACTCTCCTATATTGTCAATAAGTGACGAAGGACCACTTTCCCTCAGTGAGCCACTCCCTAGCATAGGCAAGCGAAACCAAGCTCGCTTGTGGCAACACAGACAACAATGCGATACTACAGCGAATTTTACATGCCTGAGCCTGTTCCTTAACAGCTATGGTATTCGAGCTGCATTGCTATGTAACACCTCTGTTAAGGGAGATGGAATCCCGAAACCCGAGGGCAAAGCATCAATATCTCACGGATGGAGTATTCCTCAAGAACCCGTGATTATTTCCCCTCACCATCACTCCTTCTCATTCCGTCTACGCCCATTCTCTAAGCATCCCTCCTCGACTAGCAGTATTCCTCAGTTCCCTCCGTCCTTGTCTCTGTCTCCTTCTCTTCCTATTGTTCCTCGACTGCCTATTCAGCCGCTGCGGCCACTCAGAAACCGGGTCAACCCATCTCTCTGGGGCCTGGGAAGAGGACTTGTTCCGTCGCCATCTGAGGATGTGCTGCCAGCAGTGGGCGAGAACACAGACTAGCGTCAAGAGCACCACGACGCAGACGACGCCCACGGCCATCGCCGTGATAAACGCCTTAGGAAAGTCGGCCGGCACTGCGACCCTACCGTCTAGCTGTTGTGCGACGCACAACCCTATAAGGTGAAGGGCGGGGAGGAAGATGGTGGGCAGTGACGCCATCTCCGCGGTGTAACGGAGTTGTTGATACGCTGTGGCTCAGATGAGACGAAGCTCACTCGCAACACATAACTGGCTTTTCTAACTAGTCTTGCCGACTAATTTGACATTTAGGAGTTCGGGGGAGGGTTTGAAGTTCGTCTGAGATGATAGTAAGTAAACTGGTTGATTATGGTATCTTGATGGTAGAAGTATATACTCACATGAAAAAGGGGTCTCAGGCGTCCAAATTTCCCTACTCTAATACTTCTCTCTTCGTCATAATTTGTTCATATTTACAGGCCGTGACCGGATACGAGACGGCAAGCAGGTTGCTATAAAACTTTATCAGGTACCTGGGCATGCAGTCTGCGGTTGGCATGAGTTTAAATCAATGCATACCTACCTGGTATCCATCCACTCAGCACTTTGATTGCTTGTCCATTGGTGAATATTCACATACCCAGTAGCGAGGGTCATCCGGTATATAGTGTCTTCTATATGCCTTAACTCCTCGTATACTACCTAGTTCCGTCGCGCGAATAGGACGTTCAAAGCCAGGGAAATGAGCATGGAGCGACTATTATAGAGCTCAGGGGAGATATTCCGTACTCTCTACTACTCGAAATTACCATCTATAACCAATTCCTCAATCTGGGTATGAAGAACCCAGTGTAGGTACCTAAGGTATGCCATATGCATAGGAGCGAAAAGCAAAAACGAAGAGGGAAAAATAAATATGACAAGACGGGGATTCGAACCCCGGCCTCCTTCGAGAGTAGGATTCTCTTTTAAAGAGAGAATAAGAGGAGCTTCCTCTTGAATCTACCGCCTTAGACCGCTCGGCCATCTTGCCTAGTTCGTTTGGTATCGTGCTTGCTGAACACGCCGACATGAACTACATCTCCTTTAATTTAGGTAGAAGAAGGAAAAGTGAGAGAAAAAAAAATATTCCGCTTTTACCGTGGCTTCGCTTCCGCCCCATACCTGTGCAAGGTCCACACAGCTCTCTACTTGAGAAAAGTGAGACCCGCAACACTAAGGCATGATATAGCCCTAAATGCCCAAAGACAAACCCGCAAATGGAGAGCCAAGAAATCATCGTAAAGACTAATGATGTTTCTTTAAATTTCTTGAGAATTGGGCATGTTTAAAGAGACGAATTATTAAAGTAGGTAGGTAAGTCGGTTCGGGGTAAAAGTATAGCTAAAGTCGATGATTCTAATCTCGTGGATAAGGAAGAGTTAGTTTCTCATATATATACCTACTGAATCTATCTTAACTCTTCTAAGCCGCCTGGGTGTTGGGGGCCCTGGATAGTGTAGCCTCAGTGCATCTATCGAATAGTACACATCGTCCGTTTACTTCGGGTAAGGCTAGTGACGATAACGAGTCTCTGAACAGACCTCTATAACTAGGTAGGTATGCTAGAATGGGTGAATCCTAGCCCAGTATAGATCCGCAAGATACGACCTTTATTTCCACAATATGAAACTTCAAAACACATGAATCATCATGTACGACTGTGCGATCTACCTAGGTAGAGATCCTAGGATCCCGCCCGCTCTCCCATGGACAAGCCAGATACGGGCTAAAGATCAGATCCACCAAACGCCTCAAATACCCAGGGCGAGAAGGAGCTCGCATCTTTAACATGCAGCGTCTAAGCAACATGGCAGCTTCTAGCATCGAATCTGCCTCAACCGTCGCGCACTGGTGTTCCATACTGGACTTCAATGTAACCGAGGCTCAGCCGTTGCCAACTTGAGAGACATGTTTCACCATATGCTCGAGTTAATAACGTTTGTTGACGAGCTGACTTCGATATTGGGTAGTGACAAACGCTTCCTGTCACGTGGCGCACCTAGGATGATGGGAACTATCTAGCGGAGCTCATGGTATGTCTAGGTAACACCTATAGGTGAAACATCTGACACTTCCACCCAGATGGAGGACCATGAATCTGGAAAGTTCATATTAGAATCCCAAGACTCAAGTGAAGAATATATACCCAACGTCTAATCTTAGATAAATTTGCGGTGTTACAGCATTATACATACGAGAGCATAACGTGATCTTGCCGCCTTTGATGGAAAATTTGGACTGAACTAGAAAGTCTAAGCGCAAAACACCATCGTGTTAACATCGGTGTACTTATAGTGTAATGCGATGTAGATGTCTAACATCAGGTAATTTTCAAATTGCATTTGTCGAATAGGCGAAGTCACATCCTGTTACATATATAGAAGAATTATATAAAACACCACTACCATTAGTATTAAGTACACTGCTCTGTTTCCTCCTGCCCTTTTAAACCTCATTATTAAGAAGGGTATATTGCCTCTCTTCCATCTTTCCCAATCCATCTTTCCAAAACGAGCGAAAGGGGTATAATAGTATCGCAACCCTCCAAGATTCCAATTGTTTATTAAGATCGTATAATATCATGTGCTTCGTGACGATCATGATCATCACATCGTAACGAGTGACAGGCCCAGCCTACCATATTTGGTACCATCGAGGTTGGGTGAGGTGAGTATCTTTAAATAACAAGCGACTTGCGGTAAACCTGCAAGTGACGTTCAACGCGGGGCAAAGTCGCAACCCGTGTCGATACTCTATTCGTCTATGCGGCTTGTTCACCGACGACTGGCTGCGCCGGGGCAGTGGTGGTCTTTTCGGGGAATTCGCCAGCTTGGTGGACACGGCCGTATCGCGTAAAAGCGAGGTTCAACTTGCCGTAGTCCCATCTTCGAGCGAGGAAAATGAAGGTGAAGGAAAGGACAGGAATTAGTAGGACATCGAGGATACCGAAAAAGATATAAGCGGGTGTTACACCGATCCGGTTACCACCGTCAGAGAGACCCCAGGCAATAGGGTACAACAGCCATAGGAGGTTGACCCATCCCGCCAGTATGCTGTCTGTTAAATCAAAATTAGCAACTGTTTTATCAAGCTTTGATATATCGGATATACATACGGTCTCTAGCGACGCCAACGCGTCTAGAAGCGGTAGTACCTCCAAAGAGGGTGCTGAAGGCAAGGAGCGCCCAGGCAATGGTTCCAAAGGCATAGAAACCCCATTTGTAGTTAGATGTCGTAAAGGCGCCGACAAGGTATGAAATGACCCTATTCTATCAGTCAGCCTAGATCCGGAAAAAGTATATTTGGTATTGGAATTATTTACCAGGTCCATGCTAGAGCAACGTTATAGATGATAGTGGCCCACGAGACGCCGCTCAACAAGCCGAGAGCGATAGTAACGACAGGGAAGCTCACAACCCAGTTGACGTACTCAGCCCAGAAGATTTGGCGATCCCAATTAGCGACAGGCTTGTGGTTGACAACCGGGATTACCACGTAAGCCAGATCAGAAGCAATGGCGAAGTAAGAAATGGAACCGACGAGGAGAGCAATGGTGAAGAGATAGTGGAAGATCTTTTCACCTGACCGGGCGACAAACGTAGTTGCGTAGAAGGCGATGAACGAGACAATGTAGATAGCCGTCACTGCCCATAACCAGTTACTACCGTTCACAGTCAGCTGTTCATTGCCGCCCGGGCGGTTAATGTTGAGAGCGTCATTCGCGCGCTGTAATAGAATCGCCATGGCGTCTTGGTTTTGTTGATATATACGCTAGTTAGGCCTGGGAAATTCGTAAAGAGGCAATCACTTTCGAAGTAAGGAAGGGGAAGCCCTGATATAGCCTTTGGATCACGGTAATTGCATGTGATTCGCTGTGTAGATGAGAATGACGAGCAGGAAAATAAAGGTGGGCGAGGCTCATATTATAATGGAAAAGCCCTTGCACACGTATCGAAGATCGAATGCGGTAGAGTTGCACTCACGTAAAGCTCGGAAACCGGTCATTGGCGATGAGTCAATGACCCAATGTCGATGAGAAGGTGATTAAAGCCGAGATCCGCACGAAGTAATCCGTTTGGATAATCATATGATCTAAATTGTCACCCATCTCTGTATGGAATCTTCCACAACGTCCGGCAGGGTGCGGGCAGATCACGACGGATCATAGTGATGCGTTTGTGGCATGGGACAGACTTACATTGTTACCCACTCGGAGCTCTATTAGAGCCCAAGATGTGGAAGCCGTCGGAACGACGCGGTGTCAGAAGACCCCAGAAGAAAGGAAGCCATGCAATAAAGAGTTTTGTAACACATGGGTCTCGAGCTAATATGGCAGTATGGTCGACGACATTTCAGCCCTAATGTGGGGAAGCTACTGGATTTAAGAGCTATTACGACAACGTACCTAACCTAGCTTGCAGCCGGCTTAGGCCGGACTTAATTTTCTATTTGCATGTGCTTTCTTGAGAAGAAGCCTCTTTTGAAATACAGCTTGCATTCTCGTCCTTATTCGTATCATACGCTTTACTATTGAGGGAGACCAGGAACGGGTAAGTCATCTTACAAATCGCGATGAAGCTTATGGAAGAATAATCGTCCCCCGGGAAGGGCGTAACTGACGCCCGGGTGTTGTGTCAGCAAAAATGCAAGGAATGCTCGGCAATCGCGTTAAGATGTCACCGTCCTAATGATGCTGGTGAATGTGTAGGTACCTATCAATAACTGTGGTCTTTGGGGGTAATGGCGATAGGCTTCACGGCAGCGTCGGATGTGCTAGCACAAGATGTACTATTGGAAAAGAAAAAAAGTGATAGGTCTCCACACCAAAAAGACTCGACCATGTTCGGTTACACCAAGTGAAGCTAGGATCTCGAAGCAATGCCGGTGCTTGCAGGGAGAGCCTCGACCTCCGAAGAAGGCCGGTAGACTGGGCAAATGCATAGTGGCGTCGACTTGACGTGATGTGACGTGACGACCAGGAAGGCGTTGTAAAGTTGAAAGCTCGATTATATTAACTACCCAGCATTATTCGGGCCCCAGGGTCGTCTAGATAATGTTTCTTCGCTTGGAGAAACTCCTCATCTTTATTAACGATATCTTAGCCAAGACGTTGCTTAGATTTTAACTCCTGGCTCGGTTCATTTAGTCTATCATTACTCTGAAAGTCAAGACGGCGGTTGATGGAGGGGGGCCGGGGTATAGGTTCTTGGACCATTCAATAGAGAGCCTCAATTGCATGCAGCTTCCCCGGCTTTCACGGATGGACCATTCATCGAGATGCGACGCTAAACCTGTCTTAGATGGCGATCGGCTTTGCAGGTGTCATGCCACCAGACGAGGCTTTTTTTGTTTGCAGTTCCCTCGAATTGAGTCGAAATGGGCTAATATCCGGCAGAAATCGATAGAACATCAGGTTGACAGGCTTGTTTATACATACGTCCGTCCTTCGATCCCATGCCACGTTAGGGTGGCCGGACACACAGACCACTTTTCTCAGTAATCGAGTTATTATTAGTCGGCGACTGCCGAACAATCCGGAGCTTCTGGATCCACCTAGTACCTGAGCTCCCGTCTTTTTATGGTACCTACCTAAGGTTAGATCAATCATGGAAGACAATCACATCTCGATTACGATATTAAAAGCTGAGAAGGAACTCCAAAAAAGCCGAGCAGTAATGTGCCAAGTTATGGAGAAATATGCATAATATGTATGATATGTAATACGTGTAATATAACTACCTAGAACTTCACGTCCGAGGCCAACCGCCGTTCTGCGAGCCACCCAGATAGGTGTAAGTCATGCAGCTCGTAAAATAACAATCGATATTAACTCCAAGAATCGACAACGATCTTCAATGTTCCCAAGGACCCCCAGTCTCGATCCTCAGGTGTAAGCACCTCCTCACTTCTCCTCTTCTCAATTGGCGAAAGCTTCTTACATGTGGCTTTGGGTCGAACTCCTACTCGTTCACACCCAACACGGCGGATGTT